CCTGCCCTGACCCCCCTGCTGTGCTGCCCGCTGATCCCACGCCCGCTGAGCGCGAGTCCACTGCCGCCGCTGCCCTTGCCCGCTCTGTCTGGCTTTCCCGCGATGCCCTTGCTCAGCTCGCCATTAGCAATGCCCTCCCCCCCCTTGAGCGCCCTCGCTTTAGAACCATTACTACCGCCCAGGCCTACCTCGATGCTGTCATCAAGCGCTATTCTACCCCTCCTGCTGCCTCAGTGGGTCGCTTGATCCTCCCCCTGCTCTTTCCTGACCTGGCGTCTCTCCCCACTGTCTCTGACCTCGCTGCCCACCTGCGCTCGATAGATGAGGCCTGGCGCGCTGCCTGCACTGATGCACAGCTTAGAGTCCACCAGCCTCCCATGACCTCTACCCTCTACCTCCTTGCCACCCGCCTCCCTGACCGCCTTGCCGCCGCCCGCGACCAGTTCCTTAGCATCCACCCTGCTGCTCTCACCCTCACCGACTTTGTTGACACCCTGACTGCCATAGAGACTCGTCACCGCTCCATAGCCCAGGCGAGCGGTACAGTACCGGTCCCTATCTTTCAGGGTTGTGCCCCCGCTCAGTGTACCTTCTCCGACGGCCCTGTCGCTGTGGCTGAGACTGCTGCTGCAGTGCAGTCCCGCTCGGGGAAGGGCCGCCGCCCCAAGGTTGGGAGCGGCGGAGGCGGCGGGGGTGCGGGTGGGGGTAGTGGTGGAGGCGGGTCGTCCGGTGCCGGTGCGGACGTGGGGACCCTGCCCGGTCCAGCTGCCCCGCTGCCTCCACCGTTGCAGCAGCCGCAGCAGCAGCAGTCGCCGCAGCCGCAGCCTCCGCAGCAGCCGCAGCAGCCGCCGCAGACGAGGCCGGCGAGCGCTCTCCCGCCTGGGTGGCCTGGAGCTGGTGGTGGTCGTGCGCGTGGTGGTGCACCGGGTGGTGGTTCTGGAGGCGGGCCCTGTCAGTACCAGATCCAGACCGGTCCTCGCCGCGGCTTCGTTTGCGGTAAGATCGGTCATTCCACTCCTCGCTGTTTTCGTCATCTGGACGACCTGTTCCGCCAGCGCTTTGGCCCGGCGCCCGACCTCCCGGACTGGCACAGCTTGCTTAGGCGTAGCATTCGGATTTTTGACTTGGACATGGATGCCATTGTAGCAGCCTTGCATGTGATGTATGCCGATGACTCTAGTGTGCTTCCCTCTTATTGCCCCGTGTTGCCTAGTGTAGCTGTGCCTAGCGTAGACTCCCCTGCTGCGTCAGGCGTAGGATCTCCTGCTTTGCTTAGCCTCGGTGCTTCCACCGCTTCACTGTCGCCCCGCGCGACTGCTGCGCTTTCCTTCACCTTGGACTCTGGCGCCTCCCGGTGTTTCTTCCGCGACTCCACGACGCTGACGCCGCTGCCTGTTCCCGCTGCAGTTACTCTTGCTGACCCCTCCGGTGGTCCCGTCGTTGCCCGCAGTTCCACCTCCCTTCCCTGTCCGGCGGTTCCTTCAGGTTCGCTCACCGGTCTGCATATCCCCTCGTTCTCCAGGAACCTAGTTGGTGTCGGCTGCCTCCAGGACCTTGGCGTCACCACTACGTTCCCTGGTCACGAGCGGTATGCTGTCTGTACCGAGGCCGCCACTGGTGCCCCCTTACCACTTTCCCCCGGGACCCGGTGTCCGGCCTGTTCACACTTGACACCGCGACGTCCCCGGCTGGGTCTTCCCCCCAGGTAGCTGCGTCCACCCAGGTTGCTGCTGCGTGCTCCTGTCGGTCCCTCACTCATCCGACTCTCCTTTGGCACCACCGCCTTGGTCACCCTGCACTCCCGCGTCTGCGTCACATGTCCCAGCACGGTCTCGTCCTAGGTCTCCCCGGTTCGTTCCCTGAGTTTCCCTCCTCCCCCGCCCCACCGTGCACGCCTTGTGTCGAGGGCCGGCTCCGCCGTGCCCCTCACTCCTCCTCTTTTCCCCCTACCACCGCACCCCTGCAGACTCTGCACATGGACGTCTGGGGCCCAGCCCCGGTCCATGGGCCGCGTCGCGAGCGCTTCTTCCTAGTGCTTGTCGACGACTTCACACGTTACACCACCGTCTTTCCCCTGGAGCGGAAGGCCGACGTGCCTGACGTTCTCATCCCCTGGCTTGTCTCTGCTCGTCTCCACCGCGGTCTCCCTGCCTTGCGCCTCCACTCCGACCGGGGTGGCGAGTTCGCCTCAGGTGTCCTTGGTCGCTTCTGTCGTGCGGAGGGCATCACCCAGACGTTTACCCTGCCGGACTCCCCGCAGCAGAATGGGGTCGCTGAGCGACGCATCGGTTTGGTCATGGAGGTGGCTCGCACCTCCATGATCCACGCCGGTGCACCCCATTTTCTGTGGCCGTTCGCCGTGCGCTACGCCGCTCACCAGCTTAACCTGTGGCCGCACCCCCAGCGGCCGCAGGTTTCGCCGACCCTTCTATGGACCGGGTCCCCTGGTGACGCGTCTGCGTTTCACGTCTGGGGCTGCCTTGCTCACGTTCGTGCCTCTGGCACGGACAAGCTCACTGCCCGCACCCTCCCCTGCGTCTTCCTCGGTTTCCCCCTTGACGCGTCCGACTGGCACTTCTACCACCCGCCGTCTCACCGTTTCTTTCACTCTCATGACGTCACCTTTGACGAGTCCGTCTCCTTCTACCGCCGCTTTCCCCACCGTGGTCCCCCGGTTACTCCCCCCCTGTTCCTGGTTCCTCCCTCCCTGGTGGCCCCTGCCCCTCCCCCCCTCCCGCCCCCCCGTCCGGCCCCCTCTGGTGTGTCTCACGTCACCCCCCTCCCGTCGGTCGTTCCGGTCGACGAGTCTTCTGGCTCTGGTAGTCCTTTGGCGCAGTCCTCGCCGTCTGTCCCTCCCCCGGTGTCTCCGCCTCCACCGCCTCCGCAGCCGCCGTCGCCGCGGCTACTGCTGCCGTCGTCTCCACCGCCGCCGCCGTTGCAGCCGCCGCCGCCGCCGCCGCTGTCGTCGCTGCCGCCGTTTGTGGACTCTGGGGGTGCTGGCGTTGAGGTGGGTACTAGTCCCGGGGCTCCAGTCGTGGCTTGTCCCGGCGGGCCTGGGGGTGGTACCGGTGCTGGTGGGGTTTCGGGCTCTGGGGGTGTCCCTTCTGGGGGTGCAGGTGTGGAGGGTTCGGGTGGTAGCCGTCGCGCAGCTTGTGGCTCTCGTGTTGGTGTTGTGTCGCCGCAGCAGCAGTCCCCGCCGGTGTCCGCCCTCCGTCTGCTCGGCCTTCCGTCCCCTGACCCTGCGCCTGTTCCTCTCCGGCCGTCTCCCCCTCTTCCCGTCTACGGCCCCATGTTCCCTCCGCCGGACTTGTCCCCGGCTCGTTTTCCCCCTCGTTCCCCACCCGTGTCCCCTCCTCTGTCCCCTGACCCGACGCCGCCCTCTCACGTCTGGTCTCGCCGCCCCTCCCGTGCTCGTCCTGTCTCCCCCGTCCCGCGCACTCACCCTATGTTGCTCCGCTCCCACGCGTCTCGTCCTCCCCTCCTCCCGTCTCCTCCTCCGTCTTCTCTTGTCGTTGCGTCTCCTCCTCTGTCTGACTACTTTCGTGCCGCTCGTCCTCTTGTTCCTCGGGTCCTTGCCTCTCTCGTTACCGACCCGTCTGTTCCAGTGTCGAGTCTTGACGCCCTCGTCGCTGCGGTTGCTGACTTCGCCTCTACCCGCCGCCTTGACTACGCTTCCGCTCTGGTCTCTGACCCTGCCTGTCCTCCGTCCGTCGGGGGTGCTCCTGCCCTCGGCAGTGACGTCCTGGAGGACCGCCAGTTTGAGCTTGCTTTCCTGTCCGAGGCTGCTCCCCATCTCTGTTCCATGCTGCTAGTCCCTGAGGGTGACCCAGACGCTTTTGACATCCCAACCCCTCGTACTTACGCTGAGGCGGTTTCGGGACCCTGGGCCTCTCAGTGGATAGCTGCCATGGAGCAGGAGATGGCATCTTGGAGATCCACCGGCACCTTCGTCGACGCAGTTCCCCCACCTGGGGTGAACGTGGTCGATGGCCGTTGGCTCTTCAAGGTGAAGCGCCCTCCTGGAGAGCCGCCTGTGTTCAAGGCGCGTTACGTGGCTAGAGGCTTCAGTCAGCGCGAGGGGGTGGACTTCTTTCAGACTTTCGCTCCTACCCCGAAGATGACTACTCTTCGGGTTCTGCTACACGTAGCGGCTCAGCGTGACTACGAGCTTCACTCCCTCGACTTCTCCACTGCCTTTCTTCAAGGCAGCCTTCACGAGCAGGTCTACCTGCGTCGTCCTCAGGGCTTTACTGGCACCTTCCCCCCTGGGACCCAGTGGCTTCTGTGGCGCCCAGTCTACGGCCTGCGCCAGGCGCCTCGTGAGTGGCACGACACGCTGCGTGCTACCCTTGCTTGACCTGCAGTTCTTTCCGTCCTCTGCAGACCCCTCGCTCTTCGTTCGTGCTGGCTCGACTCCGTTCTACATCCTCATCTACGTAGACGACCTGGTCTTTGCCACAGCTGACAGGGACGCACTGGCCTCCGTGAAGGCAGAGCTGCTGAAGAGACACACCTGCACTGATCTTGGAGAGCTGCGCCGTTACCTTGGCTTGCAGATCTCCAGGGACAGAGCCGCGCGCACCATCACCCTGACTCAGTCACACTTGGTGCGCCAGGTCCTTCAGAGGTTCGGCCTTCAGTTCTCCTCCGCACAGCCCACCCCTCTTCCTCTGGACCACAGACTCTCCGCTCCAGTTCCTGAGGAGTCGGTAGATCCCAGTGGTCCTTACGCTGAGCTAGTGGGTTGCCTCATGTACCTGATGACTTGCACTCGCCCAGATCTCGCATACCCTCTCAGCATCCTGGCTCGTTTTGTGGCCACAGGCAGACACCGACCTCAGCACTGGTCTGCCGCTAAGAGGGTTTTGCGTTATCTTGCAAGTACATCGGGCATGGGGTTAGTGCTAGGCGGACGCAGGCCAGTGGTCCTTACTGGACACACAGACGCTTCTTGGGCAGACGACGCCGAGACGCTCAGGTCTTCCCAGGGCTACTGCTTTAGCCTTGGCTCAGGTGCTGTCTCGTGGAGAGCTACCCGCTCCTCGTCTGTTGCCCAGTCCAGCTGTGAGGCTGAGATCTACGCCGGTGCCATGGCGGCACAGGAGCTCCGCTGGCTGACCTTCTTGCTCACTGACTTAGGTGAGCGGCCTAGCTCTGCCCCGGTCCTGTACGCTGACAACAGGGCCATGATTCTCCTGTGTCAGGAGCCTCGACTCGAGGGCAGAGCGAAGCACATCCAGCTGCGGTACTTCCTCCTGCGCGAGCTACAGCAGCGTCGCCAGGCTCGCGTAGTACACTTGGCCTCCGGTGCCAACACAGCTGATATCTTTACGAAGGCGCTTGCGCCTAAAGATCATCAGCGTCACTGTTTACAGCTTGGTCTGGTTCCTGTACTCTCTCACTTACTCGGGCCTTGACTTTGTACAGTCGTATATATATATGTATACACTCAGACTGGACTTGTGTCCTCTCACAGTGGTTGGACTAGTAGTGCCGCCCTGTACTCGTTCTTGCCTTGTCTGTACTCCTTCTGACTGGTCTTTTAGACCCTTGTCTCAGAGGCTGGACTAGTAGTGCCACCCTGAGCTGCTTGTCTAGAACATTCCCCTATGCAGTCCAGGGGGTGTGTCAAACATGTGTAGTTATCATGTTTGTATAGACTGTATAGGGTCACCTTCTAGAGAGTACAACATTTAGGTATATGTTTGTGTACTCTCTCTCTCAAATTATTCAATTCTCTTTTGTTACGCAGGAGCCGGTAGGACGGGCGCGGGGGCCGCTAGGACGGGCGCGGGGCCAGCTAGGACGGGCGCGGGGGCCGGTAGGACGGGTGCGGGGGCTGCTAGGACGGGCGCGGGGCTGGTAAGGACGGGCGCGGGGGCCGGTAGGACGGACGCGGGGGCCACTAGGACGGGCGCGGGGCCGACTAGGACGGGCGCGGGAGCCGTTAGGACGGGCGCGGGGCCAGCTAGGACGGTCGCGGGGCCAGCTAGGACGGGCGCGGGGGCGGCTAGGATGGGCGCAGGGGCCAGCTAGGACGGGCGCGGCAGGCGCAGCTAGGACGGGCGCGCGGGCGCGGCTAGGACGGGTGCGGGGTCGACTAGGACGGGCGCGGGGGTGGCTAGGGCCTAGGGCGGAAGCATGGGCGGGCGGCGGGACCTACCTACTGCTGATAGCATCCTAAAACTGAGTAATGAATGACTAGGGAACCTGGGTACAAGCATACATATCTAAGGGTTGTACTCTCTAAGAGGTGACCATATACAGTCTATACAAACACTAGATATACTAATGTTTGACAGGATCGACTAGGAGAGAGAGAGAGAGAGAGAGAGAGAGAGAGAGAGAGAGAGAGAGAGAGAGAGAGAGAGAGAGAGAGAGAGAGAGAGAGAGAGAGAGAGAGAGAGAGAGAGAGAGAGAGTGAGAAAGAGAGAGAGAGAGAGAGAGAGAGAGAGAGAGAGAGAGAGAGAGAGAGAGAGAGAGAGAGAGAGAGAGAGAGAGAGAGAGAGAGAGAGAGAGAGAGAGAGAGGTACAAGAAGTGGTTTGTCCTCTATCGTAGGATCCAATTATTTGTATAACATCTACCAAGCCTACACAAATATATATATAATACCTATATGAGTTGACACCTTCTGCAGTTATGACCATAAGGAGGGCCTTTTATTAAGTTCCATGGCCACTGGTACAAGGTATGGTCTGGGGATCGAACACAGTACAACAGAACTAGCATGCAAGGATAAGGAGATGCATGCATGAAGTGTATCCTTATTGGGGTGAGCATCCTGCCCGGATCAGTCAAGAATATTCACCTCTCAGGGCATGCTGAAAGCATGCTGGACTTCACCATCCATGCTGCACTCTACTTATTATAACCCTGGAAACTGACATCTGAAATTGGTATGGTGGGTTTAAGGGTCTGATTTGGGAGGGAGGGTATGATGAGCTCGTGATCAGCTCGTGATGAGCTTCCCCTCTATGATGATGCAGCAGTTTTCCTCCCAAACAGCCTCGCAATCTTGCTCTTCACACTCCCTCTCTTCTTCCCCCTCCCTTCACCTCCCGCCCCTCCCGCGGCTCCTGTCCCGCCAGCCTTGCCCTTCCCCACCCCCAGCATCCTCTTAATCCCGGTCCTAAACCCCCCCTTCCCAGCCTTACTCCGCTTCTTCCCCCCTCTCCTCCTCCCCTTCCCCTTCCCCTTCCTGCCGAACAGCGGCTGGGGGAAGAACTTCCTTGGCAGCTCGAGGCGGAGAAGAGAGAGCGCGTGGGCGAGCTCAGAGTCCACCTCGGGCGAGCGCGAGAAGCGGCAGAAGCGGCAGTCGGATTTTAGGAGGCCCGACACCAGATAGTCCTCCACGGTTCCGTCTATGAACCCCTCCGCGTTGTCCCCCGGCACTGCATTGGCGCGCAGCAGAGGGTTGTACTTGAGGTCCTGGGACGCCCTGTAGGGAGGGGGTCGGGAGGGGAGAGGAACAACGGGGGAGGGGGGGGCGGAGGGGGGGTTTGGGGGGGGGGGGAGGAGAGGAGAGAATGGTTGAAGCAAGCCATTGGGGTGACAAGCAAGTCATGGGCCACAACCCCGCCCAACCAGAACCCCGCCCTGCCACAAGCCCGCCAGCCCGCACAGAATCTCCTGGCCACAGAGCAGCAGCAAGCCCGCACCCGTCCAGCCACTTACAGCCGTCCCTGGAAGTCCGGTCGGAACGTCTGCCCCAGCACGCCGTGCACGGCGGACGAGAACGTCGCGCCCAACACATCTATACCGAAGTGCACCACGCCATCGTCGCCCGTGCGGAGATTCTTCACCTCCGGCCGCAGTGTCAACCGCAGCGTGCCCATATCCGCTATAAGCAGATCGTATACGTCTACAAGGTCGTTCCCGCTCCGGAGCCGCGCGTTCACCCACCGCAGCGACGCGCCCGGCCAAAGCGCAACGCTCAGTCCCGGCGCCGGTACCCTAACCGGCCGGTCGTTAACCGTCACGTGGCCCAAGTAGCCGTTTCCGTAGTCGGCGGATGAGCCGTTACGCGCGTGAAGCACGGCGGTGTGGTGGCCGAACATGATCCCGAGGGATCGGATCCACGTCAGCGCCTTGGTCGTGTTGCCCCACGCGCCGAAGCGCCCGCCGAAGTAGCCGTTGACCTGCAAGTGCGCGTCGGAGATAAGCGCGAAGTGGTGGTTTGGGAGGCCTGGGGGACACAGGGAGGAGAGCGCACAGGGGAAAAATGTGAGGCGACGACTCCGACGACTCCGGCGACTCCGGCGACTCCGACGGCTCAGACGAATCAGACGTCTCAGACGACTCCGACGACCCCCGAGGAGGCGAGAGGGTGGTCTTGAGAGGCGAAATTGCGAAGGAGCGCGCGGGAGATGGGAGATGGGAGTCGGGTTGTACCAGTCGGAGGAAGGGGAGGGGAGATAAGCTGGAGGCAGACGGGAAGAAGAGAAGGAAACACTATTCTCAGCACAAACGAAGCGGGGGAAACGGTGGACGGAGGGTGCGGTCGACGCGCGTACCGGAGAAGTCGAAGTGCGAGCCGTCGGCGCCCGTGAAGTGCGGGTCGCCCTTCTCGACGGCGAGGCACAGCGCGCCAACTGTGAAGTTAGCCGGCACCTCGTAGTCGTCCGTCGCCATGTCGCCGCGCGCCGGCTGCATCCAGTCGTCCGTGAAGCTGGTCTCGTCCTTGCACCTGTACGCGTTATAGCACGCGCAGATTCCTGGCGAGGATTGGCAGGAGAGAGATTTCGTGATGAGGAGCGTGAAATTTTGAAATGCGGAAGGGTTCGCGCGACACGACTCGAGCAAGGGAATTAGTAGCGCGCGTAGTGGGGGGTGCGTAGTGGGGGGTGCGTGGTGGGGGGTGCGTGGTGGGGGGTGCGTAGTGGGCGTGGAGTGCGCGCGTAGGGGTCTGCTGATGTGCGCTGAGAAGAAGCAGTGAAGTCCACCAGTAAGGCGCGACCAGCAGCGCCTCACCAGGTGACAGTTCACTCCGCGACGACCTAGATAGTACCTCCAGAACCTCTCACGCTCTTACCTCCATTCCCGTCGACGCACGTCTCTTCGAACATCCAGTACTTGGCCTTCGAGTCGATCGTCGCGTCGGCCGGCAGCTTCGAGTTGTAACCCGCGCAGAACCTGTAACAGTCGGTGTACGGATCGCTAAGCATTTCGTCGAAGATGTTGTACTGGTTGTAGTTGTACATCTGCCCCGGAAAGAAATACGCCTCCACCAGAGGGTCACTTGGCTCGAGAAAGACATCCGACGGCGTGTTTGGATCTAAGAATTTCCCTAGCGTGAATAGTCCCTCGCCGCATTGGAAGTTTGGGCAGAGTAAAGCATTTGCGATGGAGGCTGAGAGCAGGATTAGGAGCGTTAGGCGAGCCGCCTGCTTTAACAGGGAGCGGCCCATGTGGAGCCGTTAGCAATGCAGGAACGGATGCTTGTTGAGCGGAGGACGGCGGGAGAAACACCAGGTTCCGTCCAAGCGAGAAAAAAAATAATGGAGCGATGAGCGTTCAGTGACCTGCAAAGGCGATTTGTGCTAATCAACGAAATGCTGCTCCTGTCCTCAAGTCCAGCATTGAGCAAATTTGAAGGTTTTCACAAGTACTACGTTTTCGCGTTAGAAACTGGAACTGGAGGCAAGCGCACTAACTAATGAGAAGGATTATGGGAAGGAAGTTTGATAAGACGGAGCCGAATCGCGAGGGTCATAACTCGAGTCGCCCACATGTGTTGTGGCGAAGGGTGGACCAAGTGAGCTTCGGCGGTTTGAGCTAAACCTGTGGATGCTCACCACGTGGAGAAGCAAAAAATGTTCCGATGACAACGATGAGATGGCACTTCGAATCGACGGTCAGATGGAGCGAGAAAGTTTCGGAACAGCTCGTCCAGTCCAGGGTGTTACGTTTGGCAGACGACACAACACTCGCCCTCAACTTCAGCTGTCCCCCTCAGGCGAGCTGAGGTTCCAAGGGGAGAGCCTGTGTGGTGGAGGCGCGACAAAAGTATTTGTGCAACCGCGCTGGTAGCTTCCTCTACTCTCAGCATACAGCACATGCCTTATTCAGGAATGTTATTTTCAAATACACAAATCCAAATAAGGCCTAAGACGGTGAATGTTGATGCGTTACAGCATACTGCATTTCAAATGTAGTTCACTTTGGCTGCTCACTCCCTAAACCCTGACGCCAGCTGGAGAATTTTTACAAACCAAGCAGGGTAGCCGCTCACTAGGTCTCCATGCCCATAATATCATTATGTGCTTCTAGCGGGACAACGGCATCAGATACAGAAAATTAATTATTCAATTGTGATGGCGCAAATCATGGCGCTCATCGTGTAGTTTACAAGGCAGCAAGGTAGTCCATGATACATGCCAGCACCAGCATTGAAACGTCCAGATGGCTTAGAAGCTCTGCGCGAGGTATTTCCGGGGAGCAGCGGGCAGGCCTCCGCCAGTGGCGCTGCCCATCATGTTCATGGCGATGGACATTTCCTCGTCCACGGCCTGTGCGCGCGTGAAGCGGCAGAGCTTGCAGTCCGCCTTGAGGAGGTCCGCCACCTCGTAGTCGTCCATGCGCCCATCGATGAACCCCTCCGCGTTGTCGCCCGGCACCACCATCACCTGCAGCAGATCGCTCCACTGCAGCTGCTGCTTGGCCCTGGGAAACGAAAAAACAGGGGGGTGGGGGGGGAGACCACGTTAGCACCGCACGAGAAACAAGCGGAAAAACAACCAAAAAAAAGCAAAGAACGAAGACTGGGACTGCAAAGCGCAGACGGAAGGCCTCCAAGGGCGGCGTGACTTACAATCGACCCTGGAAGTCGGGGCGGAACGTTTGGCCGAGGACGCCGTGCACGGCGTGGGAGAAGGAGGAGGAGAGGACGTCGAGGCCGAAGTGCACGGCGGCGTCGGTGGGCGTGCGAAGGTTCTTCACCTCGGGCCTCAGCGTCAGGCGGATGGTGGCCACGCCCTCGATCCTCACGTCGTACACGTCCACCAGGTCCGTGCCGCTCACCGACCGCGCCGCCTCCCACCTCAGCGTCGCGCCGTCCCACAGCTGCACCGTCGTGCCGGGCACCGTCACCTCCACCGCCGCGCCGTCCGCCACCACGCGCGCCAGGTACCCGCTGCCGTACTCCGCGTCGCCGCCGCGCCGCGCCTCCAGAACCACCGTGTGGTGGCCCGCCATGATGCCCACGGACCGGATCCATGTCAGCGCCTTTACGTCGCCGTTCCACCGGCTGTAGCGCCCGCCGAAGAAGCCGTTCATCTGGAAGTGCGGGTCCGACACCAGCGCGTAGTTGCGGTTCGGCTTGCCGCTGAAGTCGAAGTGCGACCCGTCGGCGCCCGTGAAGTGCGGGTCGCCCTTGTCCTTGCCCTCGCACAGCTCGCCCACCGTGAAGTTGGCCGGCACCTCGTAGTCCTCCGTGCCCACGCCGCGCGCCGGCTCCATCCACTTGCTGCTGTAGCTCTTGTCGTCCTTGCACTGCAGCTTGTTGTAGCACGTGCAGATGCCGCCCGTCGCGTCCAGACACGTCTCCTCGAACATCCAGTACTTGGCCTTGTTCGCCGAGTTGTCGTTGCTGGGCAGCTGCATGTTGTAATACTCACACACCTTGTAGCAGTCCAGCTGCGGGGTCGCGATCAGGTCGTCGCTAATGTTGAACTTCTCGTACTGGTACATCTGCCCCGGCGTGAAGTATGCCTCGTGCAGAGGGTCCGCCGGCTCCTTGTACGGATCCGTGGGGTCAGTGAACTTGCCTTGTTTGAAGTTGCCAGGCCCGCACTCGAACATGGGGCAAACCTCCGCAAGAGCGGTGTGAGCGGCCAACGCAAGGCACAGAACTACTAGTAATGAACGAGCCATGTTATAGTAGCGTTACAGCCGAACTATGATAAACTTGGAGACCTAATACGCGGGGATTCTAAGCTGTTATTATACTGAGAGAAGAGACGGGGTTGCTTTCCTCATGGAAGGATAAGTGAAAATTAGGTTTTATTGGCATCTCCATGACCAGCATGGTGGAGATTCGGAGCAGGGGTTGTAGGTTTGGAGGAGCTGGTTGTTGCATCTGCCTGCGGTTCGAAGCCTTTCCTGCTGCACAGAGCCGACAACAGCTCAAACGTTCTCCTGAGCGCTATTCCTCGCCCAGGATATCTAGTGGGTGGGATTGTGTGCATTCTTCAGGCAGTTTTCCAGACTAGGATGACGTGGTTGTGTTGTGCTTTTCTTCCACATCATGTGTCGTTCACTGTACACCGCGGCAAATTGCTTATCAGAGTGTCGCTTTCGCCACGCGTTATTACGATACCTGGTATTTCTCATACTCTTATGTGGATTAAATATGCGGAAATAACATAACAAACATGTCATATTTTCATTAAGGCAAGGGAACTCATACTTGTGTGCAGGCCTGTCGTTATCAGGGTATTTTACCCTGATTCCCTGATTTCACAGGGTATTTTTTTGGCCAACCCTTAATTTTCAGGGTTGGGCTTTTTTGAACCTAACCTCTTCAGGGTTGTATGTCTGTGAACACAGAGAATTTCAGGGTTTGCGTTATCCCAACACTGAGTTTTCAGGGAGTAACGCGTACGGACCCTGAGTGCGACATCCATGTGGCTCACAATGCGGAAATTTAGGCGAAGTCCCCAATCTCCAGAGACATTCCCCCCCACACGCAACAACCTACAAAAATTGGTGAAGTCCTCAAACATTCCCTCACACACCAAGCAACCCACAAAAATCGGCTAAGTCATGTGTCGTACAGACATCCCCCCTACACACTAACAACAACCCACAAAAATTAGCTAAGTCTATGAAAATGTAACGGTCAAGATCGATTGCGATCGTTTCGACATACTTAAACCGTTAGATGGTCACATTGATCAACGTCCAAGATCTCCCAGCCGGGGCGCTGCTAGGGCGCGAATGTTCTCCGACCGCCCTATTACCCAGCTTCCCCCCTCCAATCCACTTCGATTCCTCCCTCCCCTCCATTTTCGCTCCCCCCACTCCCCCTCCGTTTCGTTTCCCCCCTCCCCTCCATTTCGATTCCCCCATCTCCCCTCCGTTTCGCCCCTCGCATCTTGGTTTTGATTCCCTCCCCCTTTCTTCCTTGGTTTCGACTCCCCCTCCCCTCCGTCGATCCCCCCTTCCCCTCCGTTTCGATCCCCCCTTCCCCTCCGTTTCGATCCCCCCTTCCCCTCCGTTTCGATCCCCCCTTCCCCTCCGTTTCGATCCCCCCTTCCCCTCCGTTTCGATCCCCCCTTCCCCTCCGTTTCGATCCCCCCTTCCCCTCCGTTTCGATCCCCCCTTCCCCTCCGTTTCGATCCCCCCTTCCCCTCCGTTTCGATCCCCCCTTCCCCTCCGTTTCGCTTCTCCCATACCTCGACTGTATTTCGAACTTCCCCCACCCCCCAACCCCCACTTTTTCCCTCCCCGTTTCGCTTCCTCTCTTCCCCTATGTTTCCATCCTCCCCTTCCCCTCCGTTTCGCTCTCCCCCTCCCCTCGGTTTGATTCCCTCCCCTTTTTCCCCCCATTTTTTATTCCCCCCTCGTGTTGAAGGCAACCCTGAACGCGCTCGGTGAACCCTGGGATTTTCAGGGTTCCAGATTTCTGAACCCTTACAAATCAGGGTAGGCAATTTTTGAAACCTGAGCCCTCAGGGTAAACGTTTTTTTTTATTCGACAGCTCAGGGGGGGTTTTTTTGAAACGTCAGCCCTGCTTGTGTGCCTCGTCCATTGAACTTGAGCCCGGGGCAATATTTTAGATCCACCTGGACGAACCAGAATCGATCTAGGAGCCTTTTTACTGAAGGCTCCTAAGGGCATGATGCTTTGGGTTGCGCAACGCGCCCAAGTTGTGCAACACGCGGGCTCATGTGGCGTCAATTGAAATGACATTTCATTTCAGCTGTGTCAAACAATGCTTTTGCTGTGTCAAATCGGATCGCGAAGTCTTCTCATGGCAGATACCAATTGGTATTTCGTGCACGCTTGTGTGGCAGGGAAACTTTGTCAGAAACCCAGTCACCAACCACTGGGTTAAAAGGGCTTGTTAATAGCGGGTTAGTGCGCCCATAGCCCCCCAAGGCTCTGCACCTGTGGCCCTTCCCCGAAAATCTCAAGGGCAACCCCAGCGGGTCACTCAACACACCCCCCCGCTGGGATAGGTGGAAGAGCGCCTCTGCAGCGCTGGCACTGGGAGTTGAACCCAAGACCTTTGGCTCTGATGTACCATGTCAGAAACCCAGTCACTAACCACTGGGTTAAAAGGGCTTGTTAATAGCGGGTTAGTGCGCCCATAGCCCCCCAGGCTCTGCACCTGTGGCCCTTCCCCGAGGATCTCAAGGGAAACCCCAGCGGGTAACTCAACACAAACTTGACCAATGCAGGAGCAGACTATTAGAGTAGCGTAAGACACTAGAAAATAGAGTACATTGTGGTTTTGACCTAAATTGTTGTACTTGCTAAAGCATAATCCTAACTAGTCTAAATCAACATATAGAAATATGTTAGACACACCCCCTAGACTAGACAAGTTGGTGAGCAAGAATGTCAGCCAGCGGAGCTCCTGTGCCGCCATGGCACCGGCATAGATCTCAGCCTCACAGCTAGACTAGGCAACAGATGAGGAGCTTGTGGACCTCCACGAGATGGCACCTGAACCAAGGCTAAAGCAGTAGCCCCGGGAGGACCTGAGTGTCCGAGCGTCGTCTGCCCACGAAGTGTCTGTGTGCCCAGTAAGGACCACTGGCCTGCGTCCTCCCAGCACGAGTCCCATGCCCGATGTACTTGCTAGATAACGCAAAACCCTCTTAGCGGCCAACCAGTGCTGTGGTCGGTGTCTGCTTGACGCCACAAAGCGAGCCAGGATGCTGAGAGGGTATGCGAGATCTGGACGAATGCAAGTTATCAGGTACCTGAGGCAACCCACCAAGTTTGCGTAAGGACCACTGGGCTCTACTGACTCCTCAGGAACTGGAGCAGAGAGCCTGTGGTCTACTGGCAGAGCTGTGGGCTGTGCGGAGGAGAACTGAAGACCGAACCTCTGAAGGACCTTGCGCACCAAGTGTGACCGTGAGAGAGTGATGGTGCGCGCTGCTCTGTCTCTGGTGATCTGCAGGCCAAGGTAACCGTGCAACTCTCCTACAGTGACGGAAGAAACTGTCCATAACCCGACCCTTTGAGAGGTTAAAATGCGTGTGTATTTTTTATACAGAGTCTTAAAAACATGGGGCTTTAATATACTAGTAGACTGCCTCCTGAGCAAGAAGAGCACATGTCATGCAGCCTGAAAGGGTATGTTTATAATGCCAAACCAACAACCACATTCACCAAGTACTATTCGGACAGTTTTGGCCAAATTTGAAGAAAGTATTCATCAATCCAAAATCAGTACCTAGTCCACCTCCCCTTAGCCCTAACCACTGCCTTCACCCTCCTAGGCATACTGTTGATGAGTCCCCTGCACACATCCGCCCCCATCCCATCCCATGTCTCTTGCACCCGCTTCCAAGTCTGGAGCATCCCAATCGGGGGGTGCTCATACTTGGCAAGCTCCCTTTTGAGGTGTGCCCACAGGTGCTCTATGGGGTTGAGATCAGGGGAGGAGGAAGGCCACTTGAGGACTGCATATGGCTGCTCAGCCAGCCATGCTTGCAGAGGGCAGCTCTTGGGCTTCGGGTCGTTGTCATGCTGGAAAATTACATCTGAGGGGGTTAGATGATAGAAATCGATAGCTTGAGCAAGCTCATCATGCAATATGCTTCTGTACAGCTCCCCATCCATGCGGTCGTCAATCTTACACATATAGCCCGTGCCATCATAAGTCATGCACCCCCATACCATCAATGACCCCCCCCCCCCATGCTTGACGGTTTGCTGAATTTGGTGACCTTGCAGGGCCGCCCCGTCGCATATCCACGCGAACTTGCGGCCATCACTGGATAAGCGGTTGATCTTGGCCTCGTCGGACCAGATCACCCGCTTCCAGTCTTCAATAGTCCAGTCAAGGTGCGCCTTGGCGAAATCGAGGCGGTCTTTGATATTTCGGGCAGAAAGTCGCGGCTTCTTCGGTTTCTGCACGGCTACTAAACCGGAGTTCTTAAGGGCGTTGCGCACGGTTCTAGGGCATATCTTGATGCCGTGCTCTGATTCTAGAAGTGTCGCGGCTTCTATGCTAGTCTTCGCATGGCCAGAAGTGACGGCTCGGACCAGTGAGCGCCTATCACGAACCGAGAGTACGCACGGTCGGCCGTTCCTAGGAACAATCGGCCTGACCGCTAGGCTGCTCGAGCGCTGGGAGGCTTAATGTGCATATTTCTGTACCGTGCTCTTTCCTATTCCTAATGCTTTAGCGATTTGTCGAAGACTCTGGCCCTGTCGAAGCAGCGTCGCGATCCTATCTTTCTGGCTCAAAAGAAGCGGTCGCATCGTCGCTGGGGGCTTGGCGTAGTTGCCGCTGGACCATCGAGAGAAAATTGGAAGCGTAGGTTGCGAGGTCACGTAATGCAGGCAGGAAATAGATATGGACTCGATGTTGGCCTAAAGTGTCCGCATCGAGTAACGATCGCTTATTATTGTACTCTTTACAATAAACTCGATAAAAGACACAACACCCAAGTGCATTGACTAGCTGAGGTCAAGGGGCACAGCATGCAATCTGTTATGGTTGGGTTATGACAACATATTATGCCAAAATCACATAGTCTATGTACTGCAGTGGATTAATAAGCCCATTTAATTCTGTCATTGTAGGTCAGTGCAGGTGTGTCTCCTCAACAGCTCAGCGTTCACAGAGGCTAGTACGTCTCTGTTTGTAGTAGTGAAGACCAGGTCGTCTATGTCGACTAGGATGTAGAACGGGGTCTGGCCAGCACGAACGAAGAGCGAGGGGTCTGCAGACGACCGGAAGAAGTGCACGTCAGCTAGCGTAGCACGCAGAGTATCATGCCACTTACGAGGCACCAATCGCAGGTCGTAGACCGG